CGACATTCAAATTTTGTAAAATAATTCTGCAATACTAAAACTGATAACTATGTTATGATGACAAACCATGAACTAGTAGATTGTAGGAACTCCTGCCCGAGATTTGCTATCGATGCTAAAGATGCGCGGCTGTTACAGTTAAACACATTTGCGTTAAATGTATGTGTTGCCAACTGTAGCTGTCTTAAAATTTTGGTGGCCTGAAATTGGTGAAAGCGATGACGAATTTGTGCCAATAATCCACGATTGGACTGTATGCGTGAAAAATAGGTAAATCTGATTAAGGGATAAAACATTTACGACTGATCCAGCTACAAACAATTACCGTATGCACTGACGTTTCGAACACCCGCACTTTTGCTCCAACTATCCTCGGTCTCATTCCAACGTGTATAAAATACAGTAATCTATCCAACTGTTACCCTAAAATTAGGGCATTTAAGGTTGTTAATCAGACCCCTTTAGGTCAGTCACCTGTCGTTCTTTGATATACTCCCCGGTGCTATCTGTTTCTCTATGGTTAACCTGTGTAAGAGTTGTAACACGATACGAACCCGTGTGTCCGTCGCGGGGCAGCGCTCGCAGTGCTTCTTTGGGACAGTACAACATAAATAGTAACGCGTACTCGTTAAGTCGTTGATATTGGTTCAGTCGTCATTGTTCCTCCTTGAAAACAACCCGGGTACGGTAATTTGTTTGTCAGCCGATCCGAACTCCCTCGTTTCTTTCACATACTCGTTATATCATTTACGGAACAGTATATTATGACCGGTGTTTTGCCCATTCGACGCAGATTTACTATTGCGTGGACGCTCCTAATACGACTGAGGAGTTACGTAAGTTTCAACGGGCTTGTAAGAGAGAGCAAGATTGTAGGAACTAGGAGGTTTGTAGGAGGGAGCAGGCTGATGGGAGCGAACCGGCTAGGAAGAGCGAGCAGCTGACCGATAAGAGGGAGCAGCCTCGTAGGAGGGGGCGGCAGGAGCGTAGGAGTGGGCTGGGGCGTAGCTGGCTCGCTTGGGGTATTGGACCTCGCCGTCGTAGGTGACCTCGGCGTTGTAGCCGCTGTAGCCCTGGTTGTCAGCCGTGTACTTGACGTGCTGGACCCGGCCGTCGGGCAGGTTGACCGAGTAGTAGCCCTGTACGACCTTGGTGTCGCTGTTTTCGTTCTGGGAGAACACAGCGTCATTATACTGGTCGTTGACGGCGTACGCAAACTGGCATGGCTGGGCGTAGTACCGCGGCTCCTGGTACGATGAGGCGTGGGAAGGCGCCTGGCCGTACCACGGAGCCGAGGCGTGGCTTGGCGCCGGAGCAGGAGCGTAGCGTGGTGCTTTAGCAGGGGCGTAGCGTTGGGCTGGGGCCTGACCGTAGCTTTGGGCTGCAGCCACCGACAGAACAGCGGCAAGAATGAAGATCTGAAATGAGATATACTGTATAACACGTTCTAAGGCAGCGCAAACGGAGACCGCTTGGATTTTTAAAGACGCATCTGGCATTAACAATCATGGAGCGCTGTGTTGTCCGGGTCTCTCAGTTGACCTCATCTTCATGGTGCTCTCAGTGTAATCCGGCGGGTGACTGACGCTCTGTTCCCGGCCCGGTGGTGTTATATACGACCCGTCGTGGAGGGTACGGTCACCCGGTCTGCTAATACCCCGACATTCTCATGTTGGAGCCGTCATACGCATGCGCATATAGAGCTGGGTGTGTGTGCAGTTTGGTAGAGCTCCGTAACAGTGCAATGCTTCGTCCGAGGCATAAAATTCATAATTATCCTCGATATGTGACATGCTAGGAACGTGTACGAGATGTGTGGTCTATGTAATGTTTGCTACGCCACAATCAAAGAAAAGCGAGTACGTTTTTCACGATGTGCAAAACCTGAACGTCTACGCGATTACTAAGCTGCGACGAATTAACTACGCGATTGATTGTCATGTTCATGCGCGTGCGCAGGGCGGCGTTGGTGCCACGCGATGTGGAGATAAGACCCTAGAATCCGTATGAGTACCCTTTCGGAGGAGCAGGGGCTTCGACGACGTAGGAGTATCCCGCTTGGAGAACAGGGTCGGAGGGGTCGTGGAGGCCGGCCGGCTGAACGAGAGGGACATTGGCCAAGTAGTTTGGTGCCCAGGTGCTCTCTGCTTTACCGTCGCAGATGGCTTTCGCGCTGCAGCCGCTGTAGTCCCGGTTGTCAGTCCGTTTAAAAGACGTGTTGGACCCGGCCGTTTGGCAAGTTGGCCGGGAAGAAGCCCTGCACGACCTTTGCTTCGCTGTTCTGGTTGTAGAATACTCGGTGTACTGGTCATTATGCGCGTGCCCAAACTGGCACGGCTGGATGTGGTGCCGCGACCCCTGACACGGCGGCGAGGGCGGTCTCGTGTACGGAAATGAAATGAAGACTGCTGTATAAGGCAAACTCGGAACCTTGGGCATGGCTGGGCCCATGATGTCAGCAGCAGCTAGGGACAGAATGGCAGGGAGCATCAACTTCTGCAACGAAACGCGAAGCCCAGGTTTTTGACAGACTTGATCCGTTATTAATGTGGTCATATCCGACTTATTCCCAGGAGTACGAGCATAATGTGTGGCTGCGCAGCGTGGCGCCAAATAGCAAGATGTTGGGCGTACCAAAAAGCTTAGTCCTACTGGCCGTCTTCCTGCTACGAAGGACCAATCCCCTGTTCAAAAAGCAGTAATTCTAAGAAATTCCCAACAGCTGAAGCCTTGCTGCTTTTGCATTGTGTTTCAAACTGGAACGTCGTGACAACTCCGAAGAGATTAAGACTGCTCAACTACCGTAGGGCTCTTGCTGGACTTAACAATCTTCAGACTGTTTCAATATATAGAGAAAGCACCTAGCCAAATATTGGTAACCAATGAATCAAGTGAATTTACTGCAAACTTTTGCGCATGAAACGGAGTTCAGTAATGCTGTTGGTAAGGTCACGCTAAACTTTCCCCAAACCACGTTTTGCCCTTTCTGTGTTGGTCTTCATTAGTCTACAGAATAAAGCTTGGTCGGTTTAAAACAAACACGCAACCATTTCCTTCCAGGCTAGTATGAGGTCATGTTAAGTGATTTTAATCACTGATTAAAATCACTTAAATCACTTAATCACTTAATTTTAGGTTGTATGATAAAAACTGAAATGTTTCTGTTAGAAGCACCGTTAGGAAGGTACAGGATTGAAGTATGGCCGATGCCATCTTATATTTTAATGTGCTGGCATTCTCCCCGCATAATTCGATGCAATTTTCGTACCCATGCGCATGTACATTCTAATATCCATGCACGGAAACATGGTGAATAAAATGCCGCTTTCAATTACTCCCCACGATCCGGCACCCAACAGTATTTGGTAAAAGGCATAACGGACATGGGCCGGAATAATTTTGCAGGATCGAGGTCACTGATGTCTGCCAGAGACAGGTGGTCAGGGTATAAGTTGCGACAGCGTCCTCGGTCAGGAAAATTAAATCACCGACACATTTTCGTGTTGCGGGTGACATCGTTGTCTGCGACCATCTCACACAACAAATGTCTACACGCGCTTATTCAGTCTTATACTAAGTTATTGCCATGAACTGAATTTAAAGATGGATATGTTTGTATCAACTGAAGTAATGATTGGGACTGCATCTTAAATCATCATAAAATGTCTGCTGGAAATTCACGAGCTTGTCTGATTGTATGCTTGGATGTGAGAACGTGAAAGGAAGTCTCTCATGAGAGGAAACATACCTTGAAAGCTGTGCAAAATGATCGCCGAAGAAAACGAATGCAAAGCATTCGTTGAAAATAAGATACCACGATAATATATTAAAGCCGGAATCAATGTCATCACCTTAGGTTAGATATTCAACCTCATTTATTTCTGTTTTGGACTAGGTGGGTCCCCCTGTTGTACGTGATGTAGATCTAAAAATATTTCGTGACAAGGGAGAAATATCAGAAAACGCGACACGCGCCACCGCGCCCGCTTGTATGGGGCGTCAGCGACTGCAGGGCCGATATTAACGCTTGTATGGAGCGTCAGCGACTGCAGGAGCGATATTAGCGCTTGTATGGGGCGTCAGCGGCTGCAGGGGCGATATTGACGCTTGTATGGGGCGTCAGCGACTGCAGGGGCGATATTAATGCTTGTATGGGGCGTCAGCGGCTGCAAGGGCGATATCAACGCTTGTATGGAGCGTCAGTGACTGCAGGGGCGATATTAACGCTTGTATGGAGCGTTAGCGACTGCAGGGGCGATATTAACGCTTGTATGGAGCGTCAGCGACTGCAGGGGCGATATGAACGCTTGTATGGAGCCTCAGCGGCTGCAGGGGCGATATGAACGCTCAGAAGCCGTGACAGGACCGAGACTCAAACCCGTCTTTATCCCCCAGGTGGGATCCGGAGGTGCTAGCCACCCGACGATTACGCCCACATATCCTCGCCCCCTCCCCTGTGTTAGATTGCAGCTGATTCATTTACTTAGCGGGTTGAGATGCATTTAAACGTGCATAACATGCAACAATCTGTATAATCGCAACCTTATGAATACAAAATGGGTGCAGGATTCGAGACCATCCCTTTCATGAGCTCATCACGTCTTCGTGTTCAAAACGTCCGCGGTGTCTTGTGTTTTACATGCTAACCCTTGCTAGTGATGTAACATTATACTAACCCGTGTGTCCGTCACAGTGGAGTGCTCGCAGCACTGCTTCACGGCAGTTCGATGCGAGTGCTCTGTGCGTGTGCACTTGTTCGCTGTCTGGTCGTTATGTGCCCAGTCGCTGTCACTCTTTTTGTTGTGGGTGATCTGAATGCTTCAGTTTGTTAGCCTGCCGTCTTAGCTGCTTTGTTGGCCGTATAAAGCTCCTCAGTCGTGGACATTACAGTTTATTGCTTACAATGCATTGGACCACGGACGTAAAATACGCGCGAACGATAACACGATAACGATAACGTAAATTATAGACACATACACTTCTTCATTTGAGGACTCTTCCTAGTACGATTGGGAAGGAGCTCCATCAGTTGCAGCGGGCTTGTAAGAGGGAGCAGCAGACTGGTAAGAAGGAGCAGGATTGTAGGAACGAGCAGCTTTGTAAGAGGGGGCGGGCTGATAGGAGCGAACCGGCTGGTAAGAGGGAGCAGCAGGTCGGTAAGAGGGAGCAGCCTTGTAGGAGGGAGCGGCAGGAGCGTAGGAGCGGGCTGGAGCGTAGCTGGCCCGCTCAAGGTACTGGGCCTCGCCGTCGTAGGTGACCTCGGCGTTGTAGCCGCCGTAGCCCTGGTTGTCAGCCGTGTACTTGACGTGCTGAACCCGGCCGTCGGGCAGGTTGACCGAGTAGTAGCCCTGTACGACCTTGGTGTCGCTGTTCTCGTTCTGGGAGAACACTGAGCCGCTGTAATGGTCGTTGACGGCGTACGCAAACTGGTACGGCTGGGCGTAGTAGCGCGGCTCCTGGTACGGCTGGGCGTAGTAGCGCGGCTCCTGGTACGACGGGGCGTAGGAAGGCGCCTGGCCGTACGACGGAGCCGGGGCGTGGCTTGGCGCCGGAGCAGGAGCGTAGCGTGGCGCCTTAGCCGAAGCGTAGTGTGGGGCAGGTGCCTTGCCGTAGCTTTGGGCTGCAGCCACCGACAGAACAGCGGCGAGAACGAAGATCTGAAATGACACACCGTACTTTATGACATGCTCTTTAAGCAGTACAAATGGCAACCATCCTGATCTTGGCCTGCACCTTTCATAATCAAACATGCAATGATGTGTTGTCTTCACCTCTCAGCTGACCTCACCTGCATGGTGCCCTCGGTGTGTTTCGGTGGGTGACTGATGCTATGTTCCTGGCCCCGTGGTCTTTTATACGAGGTCGTTGTGGAGGGCGGAGTCGCTCGGTCTGCCAATCGCTCTCACATTCCCATGGTGGGACTGTTGTGTGTATGTGCATGCAAAGCTGGGTTTGCAAGTGGTATGCCAGAGCTCCGCAGATATAGGTTTTCTCGTGAAAAGAATGGAAATGTGGAAGTCATGGCGGTCATTCGCTGAATTATATTGTTCGTGGTCGATGTTTCAATGCGTAATCTTTATTTTACGTAAGTATGAGATAAAACAACTACAGAGTAATATTTTGCGTCAAAGCATGATGCGGAATGTCCTTCTCTGTTATGTTCAGTTATTATTGAGTTGCACCGAACTAACGATACACGTAGTTTGTGCATCAGTGCACGTGTCCATGACGGGTATAAAAGTACGCCGTGCGGGACATATGGGCCGAGACGCCGCACGAGTGCATTGTCCAGGGAGGAGTGGCCGATGTCGCCGTACACGCCGGCTGGCTGGACGAGCTGGGTAGTGCCTGAGTAGCTGAGGCTGGGTGCTGGGTTTTGCCCCCTCCCCCCCCCCCCCCGCCCCCATTCGCGGACGTAGGTGACCTAGGCGTTGTCTGCCTTCGTTGCCTGCCGTGTAAGACAATGGTGATGTTGATGACCTGATGATGACTAATGAGGATGTAGGTGCCCTCGGCGTTGCCTGCGTAGCCTGCGTTGTCTGCCGTGTAAGACAAACTGACGCTGCTGGACGTGGTACTGCGGCCCTCGGCACTACAGTGCGCAGCGAACTCATGGACGAAGTAGGGTTAGGATAAGTAGGTTAGGGTCGTGCGAGGTCGGGACTTACCCTTGGGCTGGGCTGGGTCCTCGCTGTCAGCAACAGGCAGTGACAGCATGGCGGCAAGGACAAAGTTATGTAACAACACGTCATACTCAGGTTCTAGCACACTTTGTGTACATTACTTACGCGATCATACCCCATTTATACTCAGCAGTGTCAACTCTTGTCAGGGCGACTGGTTGAATGCGACACTGAGGTGTGGGGCAATTTTACTCCTTGAGGTATCAAAAAGTAAGAGAATTTGATATACCGAATTCGCAGAGTAGGTTAGCTCTGCGTTTGCGCTCACTTTTGTCAAATATTGAGTTCCTAAGTCATTTCCTATGAATCGAATAAGGTCAGACAGTGTTAAAATAAAAGTCGGTGGCCGAGGTGCCCTCAGACATCATGCGACCACCTTCAGCCCAGATATCTCTTGTAAGGAAAAGGTCACAAGTGTTTTGTTCAGATAAGTGGTCTTATATGACCTTATGATTGTCACGGTCATCATAATGGTACAAGATTGTTTTTGTTTTTAAGTCGAATGGTCGTGAACATTCCGCTAGGGGCATGATTTCGATGCATGATTTCGGTGCATCAAACGGCTGAACGGGATCATTTTGGTTCAGCGCCCTCCTTTGGCTTTCACGAAGTCCAAATAAGATGTATTGACGTCCCTGCATCACAATCATCAAAACGGTCGGCAGAAACAACTTTATCAACCCCGTTCTATGTTAAAAGTTTTGTTTTGACCTTGGCGTAGGCCTCATACCTGACCCAAGGTCAAATGAATTAGTCATGATCTTATGTTTAATTCCCGTAGTGTATAGGAGGCCATCTCAGCAATGTGTTCACTCGTCGTCACTGTTCACTCTTTGTAGTCGCATCAGGATGAGCGATTCCCAAGTCCCAAGGAATTGCCTTCGCTGGCAGGCATGGGTTGTCTTCCAATAGGTCAGTGAGCTAACGAGGTGTACTTATTTGTCTTGCATCAAAAGTTAGGTTATTTAATTCCGTACAGGTGCACAAATTTCGGTGCGGTACGTTGCCCGTTCAGAAGTCATTATGGAAACACATGTTGCGGTCAAACATCTGCGTGTGGTTATAAGTTGTTTTGCGCTTTCAAATGCAGGTGCTTGTTTTAATCTTGTTTGCCGCAAACTTGTTCTCATGTGGTGCATTGTTCTCATTGTTCTCATAGTTACCGCCACTGATCGTTAGATACTGGGCTGTTAAGAACTGATTTGTGCTTTTCCATGACACCGGCTGTGAAAAAAACAAAAAATCCCATTAAACTGCATTAATTGTGCAAAGCCTTCGCATGGAGACTATAGTTAGGGTCCAAAGGAGCAGGTACGCGAACAGTTATAGTATAGAAGGAATTCTTTGAACTCCGCTCATGAAGGCATAATTATACCCTGAGCTATGATCAACCTAATCGTGGAAGAACGTGACAGCAACAAATTTAGTTTAAAGTGGCTTGTGCCCGCGATATTGCCACAAAATCAGAATGGCTTACAACAAATGCCGCCATAGTCATTCATCTACACCACCTCTTTTAAGATTCCCGTTGGATGTGATGGAATCATCACGGAATACAGAGATGAAAATGTCAGGCACAACGTTCAACCACAGGGAGTTACTTCTGCATCGTTGTCCGTATGTTCGCCGCAGAGCAACGTTCGCGTGGCTTTTTCGGGACAGTACTTCACGAGAAGTGCACCGTAAAGGCGTGTTCGTTAAGCCTTTGCGATCTCTTCAGTTGTTGTCATTTCTGGAAAGCGACCTGAATACGGCGAGTTATTTGTCAGTCGGTCCGAGCTGCCTCCTTTCTTCATTTAGTTGCTAAATCACGTACGTAACAGTATATTACTATTTGATGTCTTGCACAATAGGCGTAGAATACACACAAACGAGGACACAATTTGTCATGAACACTTTCCGTCTTCTTTCGATGCTTCCTAATACGACTGGGAAGAAGCTCCGTAAGATACAGTGGGCTTTTAAGAGGGAGCAGTAGGCGTGCAAGAGGGAAGCGGAGTTGTAGGAACAAGCAGGTTTATAAGAAGGAGTTGGATGGTAAGGGCGGGCCGGCTGGTAAGAGGATGCAGCCTTGTAAGAGGGAGGGGCAGAAGCGTATGATCGGGCTGGGGCGTAGCTGCCCTGCTGGGGATGCTGGGCACCCCCGTCGTAGGTCACCTCGGCGTTGTAGCCGCCGTAGCCCTGGTTGTCAGCAGTATAGATCACGTGCTGGACCGGACCCTCGGGCAGGTTTACCGAATAGTAGCCCTGTACAACTTTGGTATCGCTGTGCTCGTTTTGGGAGAACACTGAGCCTCTGTAATGGTCGTTGACGGCGTACGCAAACTGGTACGGCTGGGCGTAGTACAGCGTCTCCTGGTACGACGAGGCGTAGGAAGGCACCCGGCCCTACGGCGAATCTGGGGAGTGGCTTTGCGCCGGAGCAGGAGCGTGGCGTGAGGCGGGTGCCTGGCTGTAGCTTTGGGCCGCGGCCACCGACAGAACAGCGGCGAGAACAAAGATCTGAAATGAGATAGCGAAATGTATGGCATACCCTTAAAGCAGTGCAAATGGTAATCACCTTGATATTGGGCTGCATATTTCATGATCAGGCATGCAGTGCCGTGTAGTCTTGGTCTCTCAGCTGGTCCCACCTTCATGGTGTTCTTAGTGTGGTCCGGTGGGTGACTCATTTCTCTCATCGCCCACGTGGTCTTCACGAGCCGTTGTGAAGGGACGGGGCCGCTCGTGCTGCCTGATAACCCTTGCATTCCCATGGTGGGGCCGTCGTGTATATGTGTATGTAGGGTGTGCATGTCGTAGTGCCAGAGCTCTGGAGTAATCAGGTGTTCCGCCGAAGATATTAAGGTGGTGAGGTCGTAGTTATCACTGATTAGTTGTAATGTTAGTGGGAGCCGTTAATTGCACGGGCTCTTTATTTGGAGTCAGTTTTTTATGAACCAAAATATGACTTAGAATTTTTATGTACTGGGTGCAAAATGCTGGAAGTACTTTGTCCATGTCGATGTCGGACGAAGCGGCAATGCAGGGAATAAACATGTGCTGCTGTGCCAATAGACGCACAGACATTTTCGTGGCATATACCTGTAATGCTGTGTTACTCGCAGTCATAATGGCTCGCATTATGACAGAGGCTTGACACTGTAATCCAGTAACGCTGGGCTTGAGTCACCAAGTGTGTGCTTTTGTTGGTCCCTCGCTTCTTAAAGGTCAGTTCCAAATGCCCACAGAGGTATGCTCCGGTCACAATACGGTTATCTGAAATATGGCACGACATGAAAAAGTGCCTTTCTCTGGCCGGACGGGCTACCGGGTGGTCCATTCCCAGCCTGTTACAGTTCACTGTACAGCTGATGTGAAACCCGAATATGATACGAATAAGACAATCCCCAATGCAACATGAAATGTAACATGTCGGCATCATTAATGTGAAAGCAGTTGGTCAATAGATAACTGTGGGCTTCTATTTCTATTTTCACTCGCGCACCGGATCATTGCACTGTTGGTATGCTGACGCGCCCATTGCGGACGCGGGCCCAAGCCCAAGATTGACCGAATGCCACTCAAGTGTTTAGTGGTACGCTAATGGCAAATACGAGAGCGAGAAAAGTGCGCTCGTGCAATTGTGTCGTAAGGCCGGCCAGTAGATCCGTGGTTGGCATGGAGTATGACATCTTGTTCTTGCTTTCGCTCACAGTTAAATCAAGCGTGTCCCATTTAGTCAGCAACGCAAGTTTCCTCAAAATCCTTCGAGTTGCTTTGACTTTTAGTTAGAGTGGACACTCCGAAGAGATCAATGACACTGGACTCCCTCTCCACTATGAAACAATCATTTTCATTTGCTTTGCGTTTCCCAACGTGTGTGTTATGCTAGCAAAAATAGTGTGCGATAAATGGTATGAAAGCTTAAAGCACAATGCCGGTAAAACTGTATCGAATTATGACGTAATTATCACGCGACATAAAAGCATCTTACTGTGGCTTTTCTTTCCCTGCGTTGGCGCTTAGTACAGTGGCTTATTGCAAACGTCACGTTGTCTTTCCACTAATGTCATTTATACCCCAAATGTGTGGGTTCTACTCTGACCAGAGCAGTTGATATGCTAAAGGTATCTTTTATTTGTGTTCGCCGTTTAGCTTTTTCTGTTTAACCATACCACGCAAGCTTGAACGGCATCGACACGAAATCCCTACGCCCAGTTGCGAAGGAAATATCTCACTTGAACGCCTTATACGTGCCGAGATGGCCTTTAAAGGCATGGAATCAGTGGCTACAAAGAAACAAATGGTGTAGTGTTGTGCCGAAACGTTTACCGCGAAGTTTTGAATGGAAATAGATATAATGTATTTTTGTTGACGTCTTGTTGGTTCTACTATTGCAACTCGGGTGCACTGCGGGCGTTGAGGAGCGGGGGGGGGGGAGGGGCGGGGTCGCTCTTGCGGCTTATGCCCCTCACATTCTCATGGTGGGGTCACCGAGTGTATGTACATGCAGAGCAATGTGTGCATGTCGTTTGGCAGATCTCTGAATGAAGAAGTGAAGTCCGTACAAAATATTAAAGCCAAGAGATCATAGTTATCACTTGTTGATATTTGATACTTTCGTCTTTTTTAAGCATTCACTAAAGGTGCTGCACTCTGAAAGTGATGCACTTTTGTGTGCATCTTGTTCAACAGTGTGCTTTACAGACAAGAAACAATGGCGGCCTTCTGGTCTTAAGGTTTTTTGTTGGTCACATCACAACGTATAATTTCTGAAAATGCTGTCCATTTTGAGCAGATAAGTTTGCCTTGAAAGTTTATACTGTGTCTCCTTTTCTTACTTCATGCGTCTTCGCAACGATTTTTACGAATTAAACAAGTATTTCAGAGAATTTTGTTCGAATGAAACCATTTGAACAAAACACACATCCTGTAATGATGTGTTGCACATATAACATGCAGTCTCTGGGCAGCCCTGCTGGCGTGTAGTTGCTGTCATTTATGACTACCTGCTTGTCACGTATAAACACCTACTATTGTATGTTTCTTCAG